TCTCTCCAACAGAGCAGCTGGTAGATTCAAACTGCCAGCTTTCCAGTCAGCAGCCAAGTGTTTAACCATTGCACCACCACGACTCCTTATACTATATGTAATTATATGAATATTGTAAGAAGAGCATTTCAGCCCGAGTCCTCTCCTTGTCCTTTCTAAATGAGCCCTAAAAGCTGGAGTGAACAAATGATCAGTTTCCCTGTCCTTCTAGGAGGCCACCATGATTCCATGCAATTGTTAGGATTCCTGGAGTCTTCAGAAGAGAGAATCCAAATCAGTTTCCCGCTGGGAAACTGAGAATTCTCTGGAGGCCCACCTTGCTCAAAGTCACCTTGGGTTACAGTACCCTAACAAAGGAGTCCTAAGATTTTCAAAGGAAAAAACAGGGTAGCATCCTACACTTGGGTCTCAAATTTGTAAGGTCAGCTTATGTTCCTAATACAAGAACAGTTTGCTAGTGGTGGAAGAGAACTTCTAACTTAGTATTATCAGGTCAGAACAGAGGGAAGTCCAGGCAGCTTCAGTTGTCAGTAATGCCTGTGGGTAAGGGCTGAGCTGATGCTGCTGATGTGCTCAGAGTGGTGTGAGCTGCTTGTGGTCGTCTTCAAGAAGGGCCCCAGTTGTTCCTGGTATGGCTGTGAAATACCAGTCTCAGTGAAGAGGCCTAAAGCCTCCTCCAACAAGAAGGGAGGCAGTGGCTTTTATTCAACGACTCCTTCCAGTTCATGAAATGGACTTTTAATGACCCTCAAAAACCAAATGCTATATCCAACCTCCCCACACACTCCCTCCCTCCCTCCCTCCCATTTCTGGGGCCATCTGATTCATTAAGGCATTCAAGATCAACTACTCAAAAGATTTTTTGGAGCACACTTAGCCAATTCACCAGCAACAAAGGGCAACCTCACAGTTCCTTCTCCTTTGTTAAAAATTTGTTGGTGCTTTACAAGTTCGCTCAGTTAGAATTAATTAATAATATAATCATTTTAAGAAAAGAAACTTAAAAAAAAAGAAATTGTCCATTTTCGAGAAGTTTCTTATGCCTATAGGCCAAACAAATAGGCCGATTTCTTAGTAGACTCTGGTGGGTTGAACAAGCCTTGTGCATGTATCATCCAGTTCTTTCTGTAGTAGGGTCCCCTTCAGACGAATTCATTGAATTAGTACTACTTAGTTTCAGGAGCCAATTGCCTTGTCTCTCCACCACTATATTCCTAAATTACACAATTCTAGACCTGAAGTTTAAACACACAACTTTCCCTCCAGGTGTTTGTTTACAGATCTTTGGGGTGTTGCCTGGATCAAGTATCCTCACTAAGGGGAATATAGAAAAAGTACTTTATTCTTTATAATGTGTGGCTTTTATTTAGCTCGAGACAAGTGAGAAGTGGTGAGGGAGTACAGGGAGTGTGTGGTATTTTAGTGGGTCCACTCTCCAAATTTGCACTCCAATGTGCAACCTGCCAAACTGCACACAGACATGACAGGGGATTGTAAAAATGTACCATAGACAATGTGACTAATGTACCAGGATCCCCTGCAAAGTAGCTCAAGGGAGAGTTAGGAAGTGACCAGGGATATCAGAACCTGAATAGAGCACCCTAAAAGGAAAAGCTTTCCTGAACATTGATCTACTTCCTTTCTTTATCCCCTTCTCCTGAAAGAGAACAAGAGAAGGAAAAAGAAATACTGGACTCTGACTATCTCACTAGAATAGCCTGTAAGCATTTCAGACAGAATTTCTTTACACAATGGATAAGTGAAATATGAACCATGCTGCCAAAATCAGCAAGACAAGCAAGTACTGTGTATTCAGCTCAAGAGGAGCCTGGACACATTTCAGAAAGAGCAGAGAATCTTAAGACAGAGACACTAACTCCTATTCTGGGTTGACAGTCATAAAATACAAGTTAATTTATGTTTCACCAGATAGTACTAAGGATAGATGGGAATGGAGCTAGCCCTGGCCCATCTGATGTTTGATGAACTACTATCATTCCAGATTTCGAAAATATACTGCTCAAAATTCTGGCACTGTGATGGAAGAATCTTTCCTAACAAAGGATAGTCCCCCTAAATAAATAAATCACTGCATTTTTCCTCTCAAATAGGTCTTGATCATCACCTTATCTAATTACATAGATAAGAGCCCAAGTCCCAGAGAAATGAAACAAATAGTCTCAGATCATTCTGTTAATTAATGGCAGAGCTAGGAACAAAACTCAAATCTCCAGATTCCTAGGACAGGGGTCATAACGCATTCTAATGATCAAGGTGTTTCTCTGAATTTTAGAGTTTTCTTGTTACTGTACTCTTTACAAAGGGTGTGGACAAAAGTCAGATCTGAGGATCCATTTACAGTTTGTTTGAATAAGATGGTGTAAACAAAAAAGGAAATGGTTTTCAGAAGTTAATTCATTTGGAAGTATGGGAGAGGGCTGGAGTGTTAACCAGCTGCTTTGCGAGTAATGGTTAAATATCTTGCTCTGATGATAAAACTATAATATGCCATGGTTCACATGTTTTCTTTTGGCCTTTTGAGCTGCTTTATCTGTCCTTAGGTTGGAAATGAAAGGGAATTTATCTGAAGAGGTGTCAATAATGGCATCTCTCCAGGAAGGATCACAAAAATGGTTCTAGGAGTTAGACAGGTTTGAGGCTGAGGGTGTGTGGGACAGGGAGATGGAACAAAAGAAAGGATGGATAATTATTCACCTAAATCTTCGAAGTGTAAATAGGGCCACTCAGGGTTGAGAGGAAAGTATCAGAGGGAAGAATAGATTGTACTTGAGTTTGTGAGTTTGAATTTTGTGAACAGGTATTTTAATAAATTCAGGTCAGGCATGAGATACCTGGAAAGAATTAGCTCCTTTTGCGCGGTAAACTCTCACGGTGAGAAGTGAGCTTTAAAAATCATTTTAAAATTTTAGAAAAGTTTAGAAAATAGACACTGATCTCAGAAGACAGGCTCTGGGAGTCCCCACCTCAGTCACACCTTGTGTCTGCCTGACTACTAACCTAGAGGCCCAATGGGGAACCTTACCACAGTTCATGTAGGTTTTCTAAAAAGGGGAATAACACATTAAATGTCACAAAGTAAGAATGAGAACACTGGAGTCTTGGTTTCTCTATTTCCTACTGTGTGTGTGTGTGTGTGTGTGTGTGTTTAAAAAAAGGTAATGGACTTCAATCTAGGCACTCAATAGGTATGTATGGAGCAAAGGAAGTGCTTAAATCCAAAATTGTTGCTTCATGAAATTCCACTTTTAGATAAATATGAGGATTCCACAAATAGTAAAACTGTTTGATAGCTATATGCCTTATTTTTCCTGTTATGTTGGCTTTTAAAATGTGTTAAAGAAATAACCCAAGTTCTGAAGTATTCTCCTATGGGTGAGCTCATGTAACTATTACAAAAATGAGGCTAAACAGATTGAAAATTAATTACAGGTATAATTTACTCAAAATTCTTTTAGCAATATTTCAGAGCTATAACTTAGTTTATTTTCTAGATTAACTTCTCTCTAATACATTTTACATTTTCTTCAATGAAGAAAAAAAGAAAACAAAACCCTTGAAAACATGACAGTCTAAAGAAACTGAATCACTGTTATTACATACATGTTTTTAATCTTTTGCATCATCATCTTCTAGAAATGTCTGTGAACGTTAAATCAACGTTTAGGATGACTTTCTCTGAAGAATAGGTTAAAATATGCCATTATAATGATGGGATCTAAAATGAAAAGTAGTTAGAGTACTGAGTTTGGGGTTTTTCTACGTGTGTTCCTCCTCCCACCCCAAAGAATGTCAAGAATTTGAACTCCCTGTTCTTAAGGTGAAAGGGCATTAACTTAAATCTGTTCATGAAGAAAAGAGGTGGCGAATCCCAAGACATTGGAACTATACAATAACATCTCCCAAGTTTAATATGGCAATAGACAAGCATTTCCTTTGGCGCTTCAAAAGTAGTAACAACAACATTCAAATTGTAGTTAATTAATTAGGAGTCAGTAAGATCTCCATTTGCATCTCAGTAATTCTCTACTCCTTTATTTCAACATTTAAAATATTTGCTAAGAAAGCAGAGAGGCGATTAACAGAGATTTTAAAATGTGTGCCACAGTTACACATTCTGTCAACAGAGTCAAAGGAAGCTATACAGTATAAGTTACAAAATGGTTATTTCATGTTTCGCAAACATTCCAATAAACCCTTCGCCGTGGTATTATCCAATTCAGCAGTATAAAAGCAAAACAGAAATGAACTCAAGAGCCAGCCAGCTCATTTACATCTTGAAGAAAACCACACGGAATCATCAGCTGCAGTCTTCGCCTGTGAAGCTCAGTGAGGAAATACTCCCATTTCTCCTGCAAGAAGACTGCCTGCTCAAGGTACACAGGGAGAGCAGGTCAGGTGAGCTGCGGCTCATGAAGGGACCACAGATACACCCCAGCCCCAGGATAAATCCCTCTGGGATACCTGTAGAGCTCCAAAGATTCCCAGTTTCCCAAAAGAACAGACGTGGACTATCTGGGGTTGGCATGATCTCCTTGTGAATAACTTAACATGGTTTCTTTTTCTTTTTTTAAAATCTTTTTTTTCTTAAATTAGCTAGAGCTACCAAATTCTATAAGAGCTTGGCCATCATTTTGACAACGATGTTATTTTGTTGTTTTAAAATATTTTCAACTTTATTAATATTATTATTATTTATTATTATTATTATTATTATTCCAACAGACTGTATTAAGGCAGTGATCACTAACACAGAACACAACAGGAGCTAACATCAGCCAGGCTGCTCTCAGGACCTGGGCCTGCTCGGCCTCAGACACTGACATGCACGTCGGTAGCCCATACACTGCTACCCTCATAGCACAGGCCGCAGGGGGAGTGAGTGAAAAGACAGATGCTGCTGTACCCTTAGAAGCTATGTAATAAATATCGTCAAATACCAAAATGGAAAATAAACCCTCCAGAGCACAACCACCTTAGGTCAACTGAATGTAATCTAGTTTATTCAACCAAAAATTGAGAGAAGGAAAATATTAAAACAAAACAGAAACAAACAACAACAAAAAAGGCAGTTCTTAACAACTAGCAGTAAATAAACTTATACAACAATTCGGTCTGTATAATATGATGAAATAAATCTACATCTTTTCTTATTTTGGTGCTTTGAATTATACATACAAACAACAATTACAGGGACTTGTTCACAAAGCATGTAGGTCTGGGAAAAGGCTCTCTGAAGCCCTCAATGGCAATATATGAGTGTGAACACTGATTGCCTGGAACTGATAGTATTTCCTATGCAGAGGCCCACAGCTTTGGATGAATGATTTGCCTACATTTTTTTTTTTCTTTTTTTTCTTTTTTTCTTTTTTTTTCTTTTAATGCATCAAACAACTGTGGCCAGTAAAAGGAAACAAAACTGGCAGTTTGTCCATTTGGATATTAGACCTAGTTTCTTCTTAATTTCCACACTTTATTTCCCCATATTCCTTAAAATTCTTGGTGTCCTTCATGCCTTTCTTACAGCTACCCAGATGCAATAAAGTCTTCCTCAAATGTACAGTATTTCTTACAATATAAGTTATATGCAATGTTCAGCATTTTTTTTTTCACAGCACTAGAGACCCTGTTAAATAGGGAATATGAGTCTGAATGGCTTATTCACAAATGGGATCCAGATTCAGTGGTTGAGAACACAGACACCACAGTGAGCTCCTTTTCAAAAGTGGCAAACATCATTTTGCTTTCTGCCTTCAAAAACATATCCATCGGTTTTAGGCTTCATGATACTGCTCCTGCAAAAATGCAAGTATAAGGGGTTGGAGGGACTCTCGCTTGGAGACCGTTAAGCATCAAGCAGGGAATCTAACCCATGGCGGTGACCATACTGGAAGGATGGTGAGGTCCAAAGGAGAGGCTGGACGGTGGGTGCATCGGTGTTGGAGTGGTCAGCATGTGGCTGGAGTGGCTGAAAGGTGAAATGTGGCTGAGGGAAGACATGTGTCTGGAGAGGGCGGCTGGGTTAAACGAGCTGCTCTTGGGGAAGTCCTCCAGCGTGTCATGCACCTTTTTGCACTTTTTGGATTTGCTAGACATTTTTCGGTTTCTGGTCTGGATTCCTTCCTTCTTCATAGTCAGGGGTCTGTTAATCTAAACAAAGATGAATTTTTTTTTTTTTTTTTACTTTTTTTGCTAGCTCTAAAATGGCACAGGCTTCACACACCACCACGGGTTCCTCAGACTGCCCCAGATCAGGGGTCTGCTTTCAGTCGGCCCCTTCCTCCCACCTTTTCCTGCTTCCTTCCTAGCAACCCTGACAATTGTGGTCTGGCACAGACTAGGTCTGGCTGCGGGGTGACTGTCAGCTTCTATCAGTTTCACACATCAAGAGACCATAGTGAGGTGTCCCAAGCAGAGTTTATTAATTCTGTTCATCAATATTAACAATTTAGGGAAAACTTTTCCTCAGGGAACTTTGCCTTTCCAAGGACCACATTTTAGAGCTCTACTCAGTATTTTAGTTCTAAGGTAATTAAAATTTAATGACTTTTCTTATTTTATTAGAGTTTCCTTAAAACATTTCATGAGAAGGGAAGCAATTAAGGAATCTTCAAGAGAGAAACAACATTTTGTCCACTCCTCTGACAAATCTGTTTAAAAGCATCACCACAGTTATCTTGAAGAAATGGATTATACCAATCTTAACAGTAATATTTGATTGCCTCTCTTTTACTTGACTTTTTCATAATAAGAGGTGCCATAAATCTTCCTCTGGAATTTGTATGTTCTGGGATCTTCCTTAAACATAATTTCTTGCCCATATCACACCAACATCCACTGCAATGATTGAACATTGTAATTTCTACCGGCTTCTAACTAGACAAACATCTAAACAACCAATCAACAAATGTTTAATAACGATGTATTGGGTATAAAACACTGTGCTAACATGAAAGTACACTCATTCTAAAAATTCAAAGCCAAGAATGAAATAGAATAAAAAGACAGTAGCAAGAACCTGCTCTTAAGATCACTAAACTTCAGTCCCCATGACAGCACACTGTCTCTCTCCTCTTGATCAACCCTTGTCTTTTTCCCAAAATGCATTTGCTTTGGGGACCCAGAATCAAGAGGCAGCTTTATAAAGCAAACAGTGACTACTGCTCACATGGAGGCAGAATCAGATTAACCTCAATAACAGATATCTGCCCCCCACGGCAAACTGCACATCTGGCCATGTTTCCAGGGAAATGTGGCAAACTCCAGGGGTGAATGTCAGAGTTTTAGTCATTCCTGACTCCCTAGAGAGAACACATTATCTTCCACCAGGCTCCTCAAAGGTGGAGAAAGAGATGCCTATGGCTCAAACGCTACTTTTATGCTCTAAATGCTAGGAGATGACAATTAAGGAACAGAGACTCCAGATGGCCAAGAGGGACCAGGCTGCTGACAATGCTTGTGGGAGCAGCGCACGCTCGCACGCACGCACACACACACAGCTTCCTGGAGCTAAGCAAGGAGAGGATACATTGGGGAGAAAGGACTTAGAGCCAGGCACTGGAACTGAGACCTTATTTCCCTCTGTGCCAGGAAGGCAACGTGAGTGACGACAGAAGAGCTAAAAGGTCACTGCCAAAAGAGCATCTCAGGGATCCTTCTTCATAGTTATAATCAAGATAAAGATGCAGCCTGCAAAGATGATGGGAATCGACTGCCACATCAAATCTTCACCAAGACAAATGTCCAGATACACAGCCCTTTATGCTGATATCTTGATATACATAGCCGGATATCTAAATATAATATCTAGTTACAGATAGCCACACAAACCCAGATAACTAGTTACAACAGTACCTAGATACACTGATAGTGAGATACACAGTTATCTAAACACCTAGATAAGAGGAAAGGGACTTATGGCATGCATGTAGATACCTAAATGGGCAAAACAAAACACAACAATGAAAATGTTAATAGATAGTTATCACTTATTGTTAAATACACATAAATCGCCTCCTTTTATAAATTCTTACTAACCCAGAGAAGACGGAAAGCTGTATCCTGTTGATGAACTCACTACAGTGAGTCTGTCTCTTCCCAGTCACTGGAGTCCTGACATGAAGACAGGAGCTAATTAAGAATACGGTGGGAAGGAGCAGTAGGGAGGGCTCCTTGACTTTCTTTGATATTTCATATTCTTCACAAAAATTTTTTTTAGGTTGAACACAAGTGAGATCCTAACCCAACACAGTTAACTGCTTTTTTTAGGAAAATTATACAGCTAGCTAATTTTCCATAATTCCTGTATTTCCATGGGATAGTAAGTATATATATATATATATATATATATATATATATGTATCTGTATATCTATATATATGTGTGTGTGTGTGTATATATATATGTATGTATCTATATGGAATTTATTACAAGTTCATTAGACTTTAAAATAAAAAAGGGGTTTACTTTCCAATGATTCTCCTATTCATCCTCACACTGCTTAGTTCCCAGGGAGGCCTGCTAATACTCTGAAAGCCAGAATGTGTTCATGGATTCAAGGCAATTCAGATCCCAGTTCTGACTCTCATACTTCATCGGCCACACTACTATGCATAAGTTACCATTCTGAGTCATCACTTCTTCAAATAAAACTGGAATAAAAATAATGTCTTCCCTGTCAACATCATGGAACTATGTGAGGCTCAAAAATGATCAAATAACACGTAAAGTCTTTGAAAATTAGAGATTCAGTCCCCAAATAATTTTATAAGCTGTGCTAAATGACTCGGGAGCTCTGGTAGCATAGTGGCTAAGGCATTTGACTGCTAACCAGAAGGCTGGCGGTTCAAACCCACCAGCACTCCTCGGAAGGAAGGTTGGGCAATCTACTTCCGTAGTGATACTGCCTCGGAAACCCAAGGAGGGGTCGCTATGAGTCGGGTCTGACTTGATGGCACACAACAACAACAACGACTGGGTAGCCAATAAGCTCTAATATCCCAAATCTTTCAAATTTTAATCACAGATCTTTTTTATCTCCACTATAGCAAGGAAGTAAATTCCTCAAAGTGAAAATGGGATTTGGATTTAATTGCTGATTACTGTGCCCGTAGCACAGACCTGGGATCTGTGGGAGAACACCCAATCACAGTACGATTCTAGTTTGTTAGCACCAGCCCTGACTGGCCCCACGTCAAGAGGAGATACTGCAGCCAGGGAGGTAAGTTTTACAAGGTTCCTGGGAATCACAGTAACTTGTTCCCAAAAAGTGAAAAAGGACTAGGGTGCTGAGGTCACCCCAAAAATTCTCCTGTGACTAGAATATCTAACCAGAACAGCTTCTTCCCCAATTCCCAGGTATTCCTGAGTAAGATGAGTTTGTTGCCAGAATGGCCCTGAGCAAAAAGCTCTGCCTCTTCCCTGTTCAGTCCTAGATGTTGCCAAAGTTAGATTGGCAAAGAAGCTTTAGGAGAATCAGAGGAAAGTTTTTAAAAAATAATAATAAATAATAATAACAATGAAAGACTGAAATGAATATTCTTTGTTTGGGATGAACATCAACTTCAGGCATTTTTAGGGTCATGGTCTGTCACCTAGGGTTGTTTCAGGGGGGAAAAAAAAGGTATTATAAAATGGGAGGACCCCAAATTAAAAGATTAGAAATGACACAGCTAAACCCAGGTGACTGCCAAGTATCACTCTGCTGATCTAACTCATTGCCATCGAGTCAGAACCGACTCATAGCGACCCCTCCTTGGGTTTCCAAGGCGGTATCACTACAGAAGTCGATTGCCCAACCTTCCTTCTGAGGAGCAGCTAGTGGATTTGAACCTCTAGCCTTCTAGTTAGCAGTCAAATGCCTTAGGCACTACGCCACCAGAGCCTACTGCTAATATGATATATATAGAGAGAGAAAACAGTTTCTTTTCCCTGGTGTAATAAACTCACATTGCTGCTTTCCTCAGAATGTCTCTGCATGTGTAAGCCAGTTAGGACAAAGACATCAGATGAGATCTCTCATTTTATTTCATGTCTTTTAAAATTCATAGCACAGGTTCAGCCAAGACTTTTTGCCCTTCAGTAACTGACTCGGTCCCCTTAGTTTCAGGATTTCATGTGCCATGCATCACAATTCTATTCATCTTTTTCTTTTAATCTCATTCTCTTTTTGCAAAAAGGTAAAATACAAGAAAATATCAAAAGGAAATTGGTGATATTGTTGTGTTCTAGGGGGAAGATTTTTTTTCTTAAAAACCCAGACCAGGCCCACCAAGCATATCAGATTGCTGTGATGCACAATGTTTTCTAATCTATATACTATGTAGGTTTGTATCCTTGTCTGTTTTTAAACCTTTTGAATCTTCAGCAAAAGAGAGAAAAACCCTCAACAAGATGGACTGACATAGTGGCTGCCACAATGAGTTCAAACACAGATGCGATTGTAAAGATGGCGCAAGACTGGGCAGTGTTTCATCCCGTTGTATGAACTGAAATCGACTCAGTGGCACAACAGTCTTAGCAAGGCCATGTTATACACAAAGATGAGGAATTTTTACTTTGAAAATACAGTAATTTTCTAAACTCAGTCCCACTGCACCAATTATTTGAATCCTAGCTGTTATTCTGCCCAAAGAAGAGAAATTCACTTTGAGCAGGGGATCTTGAAAGGGTAGTGGTGATGCTACTCAATGGGCATCATCAGAGAGACCCATTCTTGGGGGTTACAGTTACACTTACATTGTGCAGCTTGTAGTACAGCCCACAGGCATTGCAGACAGGGTCTCCGTTGGCATTTCTCCTCCAGAGAGTGGTAGTGGTAGTCTGACAGTTTGCACAGGACGTACCTGCTCTTCTTGCTGCCGACTGGGAGTAAAGAGATAGAAAAGAGGATAAAATCAAAACAAACATTAAACGTGTTTTCATAACTACAGAGGGGACTGAAAAAAAAAAAGAAATTATCATTAAAATCAAAACTAGCAAGTGGCCCACATAAAAGTAATAAAGATCCCCAAAAGTTGCCTCACGAAGGAAAGTGTAGGCAATCCACTCACATAGGAATGTATCAGACTGTACTGCCAGGGTCAGAGCAACAACCACAATTGTTCTCCAGTGTGAAATTCAGGATCAGAAAGCTGGCGTCACCTCTGTGAGATAATTATCCCTCCATTTTTACCCCACAAAATTCACCAGATGTTTAATTTTTATGAGTAGCAGTTTTGATTTAATTAGACTAATTCTGGTGCCTAAGGCACTTCACTGCTCACCAGAAGGCTGGCAGTTCAAACCCACCAGCCACTCCTCGGAAGGAAGATGGGGCAATCTACTTCTGCACTGACACTGCCTCGGAAACCCAAGGGTCGCTATGAGTCAGGTCCGACTCAACGGCACATAACAACAACAACAGACTATTCTGGTACCAGGCTTTCACAGTAGCCCTATTTATCAGGCTAAGGCCTATACGAGGTCTCTTTCAAGGAAACTTTGCAGGAAAACTAACTCTCAAATAGGCTCCTGGCCATCAGGATATACTAACAGCAAAGGAAGAATAAACCCAAGTATCAGTGGCAATCTATAGATCCTAGATAAAGAAATGCTAGATCATAAGGAGTGCAGAGTGCTAAGAGAACAGTAAATTATCTCTCTAAGCAAATGTGTGTGGTGTGTACTCATGAGCTAGAGAATTTAGGAAGTGCCAAGCAGGACATCCTAAGTCAACAAGACTCAGACAAATTTGCAGGGGTCCTAAGTTTACACAGCACTCTTTCAACCTTGGATACCTGGCACTCCCATGGGCGACAGCCACCTTCTCTCTCTTTAGGTAACGTATAGTTAATGAGATCAACTAAAAAGAAAAAAAAAACAAATTCACTGTCGTCGAGTTGATTCGACCCATAGCGATGCCTCCTTGGGTTTCCGAGGCAGTATCTCTACAGAAGTAGATTGCCCAATCTTCCTTCCCAGCCTTCTGGTTAGCAGTCAAATGCCTCAGGCACTTGTGTTATTCCTATTCTCTCATCTCATCCTCTTGAAATTAGGCATTTCCTACTTGCTGTTCATAGAGTAGAACAGAAGCAGGTCAAATGTCAGCCTCAACTTGGATTTTAATTTCTTGGTTGTGTCACTTCCTTCATTCCCCTTAAAAGGGAGATTTTATTTCACTTTTTGACACATTTTACATTTATAAAGTGACTGTTCTCTATGACTATACTGTTGTTGTTGTTGTTATGTGCTGTCGAGTCTGAACCAACTCATAGAGACCCCTTCTTGGGTTTCCGAGGCAGTATCACTACGGAAGTAGATTGCCCCAACCTTCCTTCCGAGGAGTGGCCGGTGGGTTTGAACCGCCAGCCTTCTGGTTAGCAGTCGAGTGTCTTAGACCCTATGCTACTAGAGCTCTTTGACTATTGTTACGTTGTTATGTGCCGTCAAGTCGGCCCCGACTCATAGCGACCCCTCCTTGGGTTTCCGAGGCAGTATCACTACGGAAGTAGAATGCCCCAACCTTCCTTCCGAGGAGTGGCTGGTGGGTTTGAACCGCCAGCCTTCTGGTTAGCAGTCAAGTGCTTTAGCCACTATGCTACCAGAGCTCCCTCTTTGACTATACTGAAGGAAAAAAAAACTAAAGTTTTTGAAAGAAGATGGAGTTGGGTCACTTCTAGCATATACCTCCCTCTCTCCCTCTCTCCCTCTCTCTCTCCCCTCCACCACAGAAAGAACACTTTACCTCTAAAATTATTCCTACTGCTAGATGCTGATATATTATTATAGTAAAAGCAGGAGAAAGATGAAGAATTCAGCTTGTCTTTATCTGTGATCAAGAAAATCTGGTAAAATGTGGAAGGGAAACTAGAGAGATGATGCTGTACTTTTCTATCAAAAGTTTATCAAGCAACAAGTTGGACCAAACACCCAAAGCTGGGCCCAGTATAGGAAACCCAAAAACCTAATCTATTGCCCTGGAGTCAATTTCTGCTCATAGTAACCCTATAGGATAGAGTAGAACTGCTCCATGGGGTTTCCAAGACTGCAAATCTTTACGGAAGCAGACGGTCACATCTTTCTCCTGTGGAACAGCTGGTGGGTTTAAACCGCTGATCTTCTGGATGGCAGCGGAGCGCTTAACCACTGTGCCACCAGAACTCCTAGATGTGGGAAACCTGGTAGCAATTCTGAATTTTCCAGATTGATTATCTCCCTTTCAAAGTTACTAAATTATGCCCTAAATATATGCCACTATAGGCTCTCAATAGCACAGCCATGACTTTTTTTTTAATTCTTTATTCTCTGTATTCTAAGGAATTTGAAATCAAAAACGGCCTCTCTATCAAATTAAGCAGCTTCTAATTATTTGGGATTTTTTGTTTGTTTTTTGGTTTTTTTAAAATAATTCACTACAGTCCATGAGTGTAGATTCTAACTCTACATGCTGATGTCTACATGCCTTTGGAAAACATGATCTTCCAATATTCAAATAATTGTTTCACTTGTGTGTTCTTGGGAAGAAGGTGCTACATTAAATCAATGCCTAATGATTTTGACAATTATGTTATCATGTTATTATTATTACTGACTTTCTGTAGCTTTTTCTTTAAAAAGAAATACTCCAGTATAGTACACTAATACTTTATTAGTGTAGTTATAGTACACTAATAACTACTCAGGCCCCCAAGTCTCCCAGTCCAACAATTTTGAATACACAGTATATGGACAGAACACTAAATGATAAAATAAGAGTTCCAAATGATGAGGCTCACTGTGGAGTTCTTTGCATTATACTGATAGTGACATTAATATAAGCAGGCTCAGAATATATCTCTGGTACCATGGGTTTTATACTAACTTACACATAATCTCTAAGAGCTACACTGTTTGGTTCAGTAGCAAGAGGTAAAGTATATTAATAAAGCAAGCTTCTTGGCTTTTTTGCTAGTTGTCAGACGTATGAAAATCCTGGCAACACTAAGGAAAAAAAAAGTCATAGCTCTTCCCCCTCGATCATTTCTTCTATTTCTTGCATTCATTTATTCAGTGTTAGAAACACATCTCAGGGAAGAGCAAACTGTATTATGGGCTGAGTGGGTGTCAATAAATCTGCAAATATGTGAAACAAAAATAGCGAACTGGGAAGAAGGAGCTAGAGTAAAGGGACAGGAGACATAGGAAAAAAGAAAAAGAAAGATTCCAGGTATTCAGAAGTCAAATATTTCTAAGGGCTAAGAAACCAAAAATCCTAAATATGCTCCCAGTGTTTGCCTCAAGTGTAGGATTTCTCTAAAACTAAAAAGATAAAATCACTCAGAACAGATGATTAAGAAATAAGTAACAGCTTAAATTGTGACAGTAAATCAACTCTAGAATTAAAAGCAACTATTAATCAGAGAAGGCGCTCTGGTGGCGCAGTGGTTAAAGCATTCATCTCCTAACCAAAAGGTCAGCATACTCCACAGGAGAAAGAGAAAGTGGTCTGCTTCCATAAAGATTTACAGCCTTTGAAACCCAATGGAGCAGTTCTACTCTGTGCTGCAGCATAGCTATGAGTTGGAATCAACTCAATAGCAGTGGGTTTAGTTGTTTGTTTGTTTTAAATTACTCAGCATTCTAGAGATTTCTTATGAAAGGTGAGTGAAGACAAAATTATATAAAACAGACGTAGACCCCTCTTCTACAATCTGCACTGACAGAAATCCCAAGAAAATGTCAAATGTACTCTTCCTTATCAATCAGCCCACAGGATGAGACTTTTACCCTCTCTCTTTTTCCTTCTTTACTTTAACCCTTAAAAAAAAAAAAAAAAAAAAAAAACCATAAGGTACTATAATTTATTTTAACAAGAAGGTTTTTGTTGTTGATTTTTTTTTTTTCATTTCTTTTTTTATAAAAAAAAACTAAGGGCCAGGTTTTGAGTGATTCAGAACATTCTTTTGTGGTGTGATCATATTCATTCTGCGCTAACACCTCCAGCCATTTTTTTTTTTTAAACACTTCTTGTTCTGATACGTTCAAACATCTTGATGTTTAGGTTGGGGAAGCTGAGTTGTTGTTTATGAGTTATCTCCAGAACTCAGATATCCGGCAGCTTTTTCCTAGGAAGTTAGCTTTGCACATAAGAGAAAGGAAAAAAAAAAAAAAACTGTATGAAGAGAAGTGGGGGAGTTTGAGAAAGTTGAAGGAGGGGGAAAAGATCAGAAAGAATAAAACCTAGAGACCAAGGACAGCCAAAATTTAAAGTCATGTGGGTACTTCCATCCCTAGAAAGTTTTTCCTTTTTCTAAAGAGGATGTGAAAAGTGTTGAGTTGCATTAAAACCTGATGGGGAGGACAAATAATTCTGTAAAAGGAATACAGGGTCGTGTGTGTGTATGTGTGTATGTGTATGTGTGTGTTTCCCTTAAAATCTGATTGATGCTAATTTATCCTTTAGTCTGCATGGGGAAATTTCCCCTCCTTGCCTCTCTACTTGGTGAATGTCATCACCACAAAAAGCATTTTGATCTCTTAATTGTGGTTAAAGTTATCATTTGCCAAGCCTGATTTTATTTGTGTCTACTGCATACAGTCACTATTCAATCTGGCCAAAGACAAGTTTACAAACAAACCTCTCCTGCTAATTTTCCTTATAAATGCTTGAGGGTGCCAGGTTTTCTCAAGTATCCCAAAAGGTCAAGATGTTTAAGAAAGAAAGAAAAATTATCTCTCCACCGATAATAATTCAAAGGGAAAATAAGACCAAATGCTACGTGAGACCAAGAGACAAGACAGGAATCACAAAAATTTTTCCCACAGGAATTACCTGTAAAGAGTCCTCAATTTCTACAACCAAAAAAAAAAAGAAAGAAAGAAAGAAAGAAAAAGTCCATTAGGGTCAATGGCTGGCTGCTTCTGAAATTCAGTTAATTGCCCCATCAATCTTAAAGCACCCTGGCACAGAAGATTCATCACCTGCACTGATGATACAGCACTGAATCTGTGATAACTTCCTAGGACCCCACCTTCTGCTCCTTCACAAACATGTTGTGGATGGTACTCAGGACATGCCATGCTCATACTAAATTTCTCTGTATATGAAGCAATGATTATCAATGCATTTTCAATCAGGTGCCCTGGTCCTGTTAAAGTAATCAGTCTCCTAATAAATAAATTTAAGAGGTGATAACCAAGAAGGCAGTATCCTTAAAAATTCGATGAGTAACTTAAAGAACATGAAGGAAAAAAAAGAGAGCTTTTCTGTATGTCAAACTTGAAAAGAGAAAACAAAGTAAGACAGACCAAAAAAAAAGCTCTCCCAAGCAAGCTGACATGATGTTGAGCTGTCCTGCCAATTTCCTGCAGAAAGCTCTCCTTCCTGAAGAGAGGAAATTAAAAACACAAAATAGTTAGTGTTGGATCAGTGCTTCCCCAGGAGGACTTACCAGCCTTCGCTTGGGCTTAATGAGGGGTCGGTTCTGTCCATTCATTTTGTGGTAGAGTCCACAAGCATTGCAAAGGTAGTGCCCCGTCCCATCTCTCCGCCACAGTGGGGTTGAGGTTGCCCCGCAGTTTACACACTCCCTGCCTTCTGGAAGCAAGATCACACATAAGTCACTTATGGAATGAAAACACACAGAAAAACTAACAGAGCTTCGATTTAGGATGTACAATAAAATGAGAACATTTTTTCTTTCTTTCTCCTTTTTTGGGGAACTTTTCTGTCTCTACCTCTTTTTTAGGAGCTCTGGTAGCATAGGTTCTAAGGCACTTGACTGCTAACCAGAAGGCTGGCGGTTCAAGCCCACCAGCCACTCCTCCTCGGAAGGAAGGTTGAGCAATCCTACTTCTGTAGTGATACTGCCTCGGAAACCCAAGGAGGGGTGGCTAAAGACGGCACATAACGACAACAACCACCACCTCCTTTTAAGGTGCTCCAAAGCTGTGAAGAGCAACTATGTGGCCATTCATGGCACAACTATTCTCTGTACACATACAGCTATCCTCCGCAAAAGTGGCAGGTAAATAAATAGCAACAGAACCTGATTCTTGGCCTGGCTGACTTTATGGGGAAGATCAAGCAGAGCCAAGGAGGAAGGCAAATTTCAACTTGATATATTTCCCTGAGAAAATTCTAAGCCCTAGACGATGGCAAAAGCAAAACATTCCATTCATTTCCCTCAAAGGGGAAAAAAAGGAAAACAAAGGTGACCCATTATCATCACTAGGTCTGACTATATAGATTGATTAAATAATGAAGATTAGGATGAGGAAAAAGGAAAGATTAATCCATGGCTAGATAGATAAACAGATAATAAATAGATATATAGATTGATCAATGGGCTGATTGATTTTAGTAGCTAGGCCTTAGATTTCACTTCCAATAAAACTAAATGTCCCTGCCTGGAAAGGAATAGATTAAGACCCAGCAGGGTCCACTCATTCCTTATCTTTTTTCTCTCTGGAAAATGCCAAGGTTTCCCATAGTGTACCAGCTACTTTTACAAGGACTAAAGTTTAACTGTGACCCCAGCTAGCTGGAGGGAAACCTAGTGCAAACTTTAGACAGGGAACCTGGAAAAGAGAGAGGGGGAAAGGAAAAAGGTAAGGGGGGAAGGGGTGGGAGGGACGGGGTGAAGATCAGAAGTAGATTAAGAGATGAAGCAAATTAAACCGAGGAGGAGGGGGAAGCTCTTGGTCGGCTCATTAAGCAAGGCCTGCCTGCAGTTGCTCTTTTTCCGAAAACAAACAAACAAAATAAACAAAAAACTGGCCAGGCCAGGTTCAAGCAACGTTTCCTCCAGTGTGACCCAGACCCACTTCCAGAAAGCTCCTGAGAAGAATCCCTTACAATACCAATTTAGGACACAGGGGAGTTTGCTAACTGATTTATTTTCAACTTCTGCGGGTGGAGAAGATTTCTAGGAGAACCTCCCCTGCTTTTGTGGGGCTGGAGGGAATGTGGCAGGAGTAGCATCTAGCTCTCCCGAATGCCAGCACAGAATGGGGACTGGCTTAGCCCCCTAGGGACCGAGTGGGGACCTCCAGTCACACTTCCCGCTAAAGCTACTGCCTTGCCCTGACCCCCCAGGCCTGGACCCCTCGGCCCTGAATGAACTGAATGGCTGCACCAGAGTTGTTCCAGCAAGGAGGCTGCCGAGGACTACAATGGAAGGGAGGCAGTAAAGGGGTAGGAGGGGAGAGAGATGAGCTATAAAAGTTGTTTTGTTTTGAGAGGTTCATCAATTAGCACCCATCTACAAGGAACTCCAGCGGCTTGGGAATTCTGACTCCCTAAAAAGAGGAAAAAGCTGGCTTAGACATCCTGGGAACCAATTCCACCTTTGGAAACCCCTCCAGACCAAGTATGAGGGAACTTGGAGAAGTCATACCTATGAGTGTGTGACCTCCAGGGGCAAGTTCAGAAGGAAAGTACTTTTGCAAATGGAAATGGGTTTTCAACTAAACTCAATAATGATGTTGAGTAGAATTTTTGTCTATTTTGCTTTTATTTTAAAAAATATTAAAGTCATTAAGAGAGATTTGCTCTTTTAACTTCATATTCAAAAAGGGTTCTTAACTGGAGGTCCAGAGAGAGCTTCAAGGTATCCAAGAACCTTGCAAATTATCTATATTTTTAAAAAAGCTGTGCCTGTGTGCCAGTGGCAATTTGCCATGTATCCAAGTGCTCCAAAAATTTTTGGACTGAACTACATTATTTGGGGTCAATATAATCCAGACACTTTTCATTTGGGGTCCAAAGTCAGAGATATGATAGACTAGATGTGAAGGAGGCATGAAGGAAGGAGGGAGGATGAATGGGTGAGGAGGAGGAGGTACCAGCCATGTAGTCTTAGCCATGAGGCAGGCAAGCCCAGCAGTTTATATGCCCCAAGTAGGCAGTCAGGCATTTCCTTCTCAGGGGGCAGCAACACTGACCTCGCCCCTGCTGGAGCTGCCAGGCCCACCTCCCATCTTGCCAAGATAGGCTGCTCAAGTTCCCAGCCATCTTGTGCCTTTCCTAGTTAGGCACTGGACAGAAGGGCCATGGGAGGCTTCACTGGCTTCTGGCTTCTGGTTTCTTGCTTCCTCCTCCTCCACCAGCAGCAGTAGCACAGACTGAGTTGCCACTGTGGTGGAGGGTGAGGGGCTGCTCGGCACACCCCTGCTCGTAGGCACCCCTGGCACTGGGGGGATCTCCCAGCCTGACATGATTAGTCTGATTTCCTCTCTTTTGTCAGGTGGTGGGGAGGATGACTGCTTCCTTTTCAGAGAGACCTTGAAAGCTAGCAACGGTTCCCTCTTCAGCAAGGTTCTGCACAATGGAGCAATTTTCTGTTTAGATTCACTTGGCAAGTTTACGATTACCTTGTGTTGGGTGTTTTTGTTGTTGTTGGTTTTCTTCCTTACTGCCTCTAGTCTGTGACTTCAGCAAACAACCATTTTCCCTAATGGAGGCCCTGACTCCTGCTTTCTTTCTCTTTCCTTGCTCACTGCCTGGTGTGGGCAGCTCAGGCAGACACCTCTCTCTCTTAGGTGACAAGAACCACAGAGCTATGAGGTCTCTTGACATTCAACAGTCATTTTAAAACACTCCTTTCACCTCTGGGTTTGGCCTTCTTCACCCAAACCTTGAAACTAGGCTGGACAAAAGAGCATAGGAGGGAGGGCAGGAGATTAAGAGGAAGGAAGAATGAGATGCCCATAGTCGAAAGGAGGTCCAGGAGTCAAGAAATGGCCCTTTGCAAAAAAGTCTTTGCCTTTTGTTTGCAAAGATATATCCCAGCACTGAAAGCCCAGATGTTAGAAAAGCAATAGGTGCCCTAACCACAGCTTCAACCGTTTTTCCAAAATACTACCACTCTTTCTTCTCTTGTCTCCTCCGTGAGCAAACGCTTTTACAAAGAAGAGGTTAAAAAAAAAAAAAAAAAAATGCAACAACTGAAACCAAGAGAATCTCCTCCATGAGAATTCCCACCACTTCTACCCTCTTCACACAGGTTTCTGGAAACTTCCCCTGCAAACTCCCATACTCCCAAAAGCCCCAGCTCCCTGGCTGTCCAGGTGTGCTGTTCTAGGTTTTTGTGACTGTGAGAAAGGAATAAGGGGGAGGAAGTAAAAGCCAAATTTATATCACCATCCCCCCTCTCCCTTCTCTGCCAAAAAATATATAATAGGTATATAGATGTTCCTACTTCTGGGTTAGACAAACCACAGCTCTTTTTTCCCCTCAATGTTCAGAGTCTTAAGGAAAGAGATAAGAGAAAGGAAAAGACTAAATTGAAGGCAGAGGTATGCACAACAGAGGGGGAGAAATCAAACACGGAAATGTGGGCAAAGACACCAGAGTCCTTTGGAAAAGTCGCTCTGTCCCCTCCCCCCACACAAACCACTACACCAGCCTCAGATACCACGATCTTCCCCAAAACTTACAGCTCTACCAAAAAAAGAGAACTTTTTAAAAAAGCCCATCACCACCTCAAAATGCACAGGTTTGCTCTCCTTTCACCCAGTCCTCAAGCCCTGATCTAATTCCCGTTTCTCTGAGTAAAGTTGTACCCCAGAGTTCTTTCCAATTCTCTGCCTCCACCTCCAAATCCAGCTCCTGACAAGGCATTGGGGCCACTTTTCCTCCCACCCTGCTCTCCCTTCTTCTTGCTTTCTTTTTGACCCCACCAGCTTGCCTAACTCACTCTCTCTCTCTGTCTCTCTCTTTCTCTCTTTTTTTTTCTCTCTCTCCTGCCTACTTTCATGTACTGAACATGCAGGTCTGAGTTTTTCTGTCAGCCTAACCGCATCCGGACTCTATTAAAGTTCTTGGCGCGGGATAAACAATGCAACTGTCGCGTGCAGCAGTCTGAAAATAATTGGATTAGCTAAAACATATCAACTAAATAGAGACAGTCCTGCTCAGGCAGTCGGAGTAAATGTCACCCTGGAAAAAACCCTGAAAACTGATCTCATGGTCACTGGGCTTCCAGAGTCCTACCTCTGAAGTTTTTTAAAAGCAAGGCTTTGGAAGCTCTGCTTCAAGACTCCTCATCTCACCCGTGGAAGACAACTGATTCTCACTATTTCTTTTTATATAGAATCTAGAGAGCTGGAGAGCAGAAGCAAGAGAGTTGTAGTGGACCAAAGCAGACCATGCCCACACTCACATGGACAAACCTAAGGGACACAACAACCTTCACCAAATAGTATCAAAAATACATAGTTAAATCTTCTCTCAGAAAATCCCTAACTCTCTGATTCCATTGCTTTAGTTAGAAGCAAAACTGATGGATTATTTTATTTCTAAAGCAAAATTACCTTAGCTAAACTAGTGTTTTATGTGGAGTTTTTTCTTTAAAACGCAAGTGACTACACTGATAGAATAAGGATGAATAAAAGTGTGGTGTGCTTCCTGACTGGGTTTGCTTTTTTGAAAGAGAACAAGCAGAGGAAACAGAGACACACAACTGAAGACTCTTTTTCAGTCCTTTCTATGTTCCCTGGCTTCCGATCGATTGAGGATAAGCCCTAATACACATTACTGTTGTGCTTGGGTTGAGAGCACTAGAAGAAGCTGTAGGTAACTGGGCCATTTAATGTTTGATTTCAATTCACTTGTGTTTTCCCAGCACAGAGCCCACTTCTTTCTCCTAGAAGTTAGGATGAGAGCCCCCTTTCCCAGGCATAGATAAATAAATAAATAAAAGTGTGTGCTGCTTTTGCCAGGTTCCCACTCCCCACCCCAAAAAAATTATATATACATACACACACACACTTTATTTATCCCTGTCTATATAAAGGTCTGCCCTCGGCTATTGACTGCATGACCCCCTTTGAGCTGAGCAGGAGAGGAACAGTCAGACTGACACAGAGGCCAGAGGGGTCACAGGAGGGACCTGTGTTTGTTTAGGTTTGAGGAGGTTTCGTTTTAGCATTAAACACTAAAGATTTATTCCCTTAGCCTTCCATTTGGTCTTGGAAATGAGTAAAGGTTACTGGCAGAGCCAGAAGTTCTGCAATGTGAAGGAGAGAGTAGCACTTTGCTTTTGTTTGTCTTTTTTCCTTTTCCAGTTCAGGGGGGGTGGGGTTAAATTAGATCCCATCTCCCTTACACATCCAAGGAAAGGAATCAGAGAAGACACACCTCATCCTTCCCTAGTGGGAAGAATAGGGAAAAAATCAAACCTCAAAAGGGTTAGAAACACCAGAATGCTCTCCTGAAGCGCCTGACTGCTAGCTCTGTTTTCCTTGCCCAGGATTAAGGAGAAGGGACAGGCAGGCAGAAGAAAAAAGAATCTCACTCAGGGGAGAGAAGGGTCTTACCTGTGCTGGATCTCGCCTTAGGCCTCGACTTGCATCCGAACCCTGTGGGCGAGCCTCCCAGCAAGCTGCTGGGAGGGAAGAGTCCGGGGCTGTACTCGGGGACGTAGGGTGGGTAGGTAGTGATGGGGTGGTGGGCCGAGGAGGAGGCCCCTCCCAGGGTAGTCATACTGCCGCGGGAGTGCGGCGACTCCAGCTTCATGCTGTCCGGCAGGGACACCTGGTACTTGATGCACTCTTTCTCATCCTGCCGGGCAGAGCCGGCTGATCCCGGAGTGGACAGGGACGGGTCCGGGGAGACGTCCTTCGGCGGGGTGGGCGGGAAGGTGAAGAGGTGTGGGCTGGAATGGCCCGCCGACAGGGAAGAGGATGAGGCTGGGGGATATACCGAGAGGGGCCCTGGGGAGCCATGGTGGATGGATGTCTTGGAGAAGGGGCTGAGGTTCCAGGGCGAAGCGCTGTGGTGGCTGCCCAGGGCTTTGCCACCATCCAGCCAGGGCAGGGATCCATGCAACAGCGGAGGGCGGCACACCTGGCTCCCTGCAGTGAGGAAGATGGAGAAGAAAAGAGAGATTCGGGTTGAGAGCAGCCCTATGAGGCCCTCAGACACACCTAGGGATCCTCTTTCTCCCACCCAAGCCTGTAACAAAATCCCCAAACACAGACCAGAACGAGGCAGGGCTCAAGCCCACTGTCTCCAATCCAAGTGCTCTCAGGAGTACCTTGGCCAGCACACATTAGGGTAGAGGGGAGACTGTTCACCCCTCTCTCTGTACAAGTGTTTCCTCAAAGACAGGGGAATTAAGGGACTGTGTCTGACACCAAGAGGTGCTGAGAAGGCATGGAGAAGGGCCCCTTGGCTTATTTGGCCTCTCCAGATACACTTTCTAAATCACATTCCCTGAGGTTTCTCTCTAGAACCTGACTTGATTTATTAGTTTCCTTCAATGGCCCAGAATCTCCCATCCCAGACTTAATCCCAATCAGCCTGATAAGAGTCGGTGTGAATGATGAGACTAAAAGAGTGAGCCTGCCCCAGACAACTGCTTAACACCAGGATAACACACCAACCCGGGAGAGGCCCTGGCAGCAGTGTCCAACTCCTAATGTTGATAGGCCAAGAAGGAGGGTGCTTGGGCGAACAGAGAATGCACATTTTGGGGTATTTTCAAGTAAACCTAATCCAGCACTTGCTCATAACCACCAAGGCTGTTTCCTAAAGGCCTAAAATGGGACTCACAAGGAAATTTTAATTGTTCAGGCTGTTGGACAAAGTTTCCAAGGCTGGAGCCTGGAATGGCTGTTTTTCTGCTTTTCTCACCCTCCCAAATCCTACAAGAGAAGAAAATAAAATATGTTGCATATGCCCTCAAAGCTGTGATTCCAACAGTGCATGATGGGAATTTTCATCTGAGCTCCTGAGATACACAAGTGTGGTATGATATGTATAATTTTAAGCCAACGATGATTCCTACAGAGTTTATTTAGCATTCATTTAAAACACAAATATAAGGTAGCTGTATCTCATACAAGTCCACACACCGAGAGGGGTAAGTTTAAACTTCATGTAGTACAAATCCACATATTATTGATCTTTTAATCCAGTACCTGCATCAGCATTTGACATTCTATGTAACCATTATGAACAATATTGAAACTAAAAATATTAAGAGAGAGGAAGGGGAGGAGAGTTAAGAGGGAAGGAGAGTTCTCTGAACATGAAGGGTCAAGATTCATGTTATGCAGGAAGTAGTACAGTAAATAATATTAAGTCTGCATCTACTGCATTTCCACTGAACTGCTGATCTGCACAGAATAAGGGCCAAGAGCGCCCCATCCGCAGAAACGATTGTTTAAAACCTGGTGACAGCAGGGCAGAGGGCTCCTGCTGCCGGAGGGGCTCTGTCACCAGTGCCGCGGGCTTTCTTAGTAGGGCACCTACGCTGACCCACGGTCTGCCTAGACTGAGAACGCCTCACATTTTCTCTGCCTGAAATACTTCTATTCTTTAGGAACAAACTTACAGCTGGAAAGTACTAATAAAGCTTTTTTCCTAAATGCATAGGGCTTCGTTTCTTCCTTTACAATTCAGAACTCTCCTAAACTTCGCAAGGTGGAAGGGAAAAAAAAAAGGGAGCAACTGGAATCTCTCCTACTTAAAAGAGAAACCCTGATGAATCCTAACTCCTTGGGAGCTCAATGGGGCTTCTGTAGGCCGGAGGGGACTAAGGCCAGAGTTGCGAGGAGCCTGCAATGAGGCACCTAGAAGCAAACACTCAGGAAAATTCTGTGCAGCCGGGAATATAGGAAACCTCATCGATCTCAAATTTAAGACGGTTGGACATTCCACTAAAACCTTTACAAACACCAGAATCGCATTTCTCAAACCCAAAAGGTGAGAGACCTGCTTAGAAATTGAATGCAGTAGCTTTGGGGAAAGGTCAAAGGAGAGCGGTGTGAATCAAAACGTCTCTCCGGCCTTTCTAGAAATTTGTCCAAGAAATAAACTCAGGAACGCTGGCAGAAGCCCCCTAGAAAGAAGTATGGGAATCAAGGAGTGCTAAACCCTTTGGAAGAACCATGTCCAGGCGGAGATTGGCCAGCTCCGGCTACCGGGTCATGGAGCCCCGGGCGGCGGAGGCAAGCCTTGGCTCCCAGCGCCTTAGACCTCGGGGACCCGGAGCCTCTGGCCCGGAAGACAAGAAACTGCAGCTCGGCGCCCGCCAGGTGGGCATCTGGCCCAAGGACCAAGAGCCGCAGAAATGCGCCTGTTGCGACTCTTCTTAAAAGTACACGCTCACGAGTGAGATGACTTCCTCGCCCATTTCCGGGCCCCAATTGTTTTAAATGAGCCGGTAACGGCATTTGGGGGCTTTCGCTTCGTCTCTCCACCCCTTGATCCCTCCCTGCCTCCTAAAAGGGAGGGGACCGCTCCGCACGGGTCCTCGCACCAGGGGCGGACTCACCGTGGTGGGTCGGAGGGTACCTCTGCACGGTGGCCCTCACTGAGTTTCCGTAGTAGGATGGGACGTGGTTGCCTTGGCCGTCGATATTAAAAAGTACATCCACCTCCTCAGGCAGAGGGTACTGCGCTGGGTCCATGTAGGAGTGGCCGAGGCCGGGGTGGTGCGTGTCCGGGTGCTGCCCGTTGAGCACTGCGGGGTGGTGGTGGCTCACCCAGCGCGGTTGGTCCGCCGTCACCTCCATGGCCTCGGCCTGCGCTCGCGCCCTCTCGCCGGGCCCCGGAACCCGCGCGCGGAGAGGGAGGGCGGTCGGGCTGGGAGGTCGCTGAGCTTGGAGGCTTTGCAGGTGCTGCTGTCGTCGGAGAGGTGGAGTACTCTTTTAATTGTTTTCAGTGAAGTGGAGAATAGGAAAAGTGAGGAAATAAGTTTTTTGCTTTTTAAAATATATTTTAGGCGCAGTTTAACAGAGAAAAGGGGAAGAAAAAAATAAATTCAAAAGTAAAAAGTTACGAAAGGATAAAAGGGGACTGAATTGTAAAGGAGGGCGAGGACGGTTTGAATTTTCTGCAAGTGAGGCTCCTCTGCACCCTGTGTCCTCAATGGCTCCGAGACTGAGCTTCTTCTCGGGTCACCTGCAATGCAAAGAAGGGGGGATGAGCAGGTAAGTACTTTAGCACCTGAGTTTATGAAGTGGCACTACCTACCCTTGAGCCGGCCGGGCCCGGCGCCCGCGCACCCTGCGGTGCCGCGGGACACGCACACACGCGCGCAAACGCACACACCTACTGTGGAATTCGGAAAACCGGGACATTGCCCGAGAGGGGAGAAGGCTACTAACTACATCCCGAGCAGGCCGGTATTCTGGAGCCCTGGACTGAGCAGCTCAACTTGGGAGAACAACTCCCCATTGCCCTCCCTCCCTCCGGGGGCACAGGTCCCAGGACCTTCCAGCCGGTAGAAACGCTCCAAAAGAGGAGAGTTTGATTTTAAATTTTAAAAGTCCTCCCAAGTGGAGAAAAATAATCAGATTTAAAAAAAAAAAAAAAATTGCCAGTACCAACCTGGGTAGCGAGGAGCAGAGAGGAGGAGAAGGCGTACGACCTGAGAGCAGAAACTGCTCACTCAGATTGCGTGGCTCGCTCTGTCTCGCTCTCTTTCTGTCTCTCTGTCTTTTCCTCTCTCCCTCTCTCAGTATTTTTTTTTTTTTTTTTTACAGGGAATGCATTCTTTCTGAAAGTATCAAGACGGCGCCAGGCAGCTCAGTGTTCGCAGACAGCTGTGGCGCGACGCAACTTAAGGAGGTTCTAGTGTCATCCGCGCCGAGGGGGGAGGAGCCTGGCTCTGGTGAGGAGGGGACTGGATCCCCGGCACAAGGAAACTGCAACCCAAACCCGCTCCAGGACTTCACTGTCCCTCCACAACCCCCCGCCCCTCCTCCCGCCCCTCCACTGACCGGAAAGGGGCGCCGCGGAGGGCGGCCGCTGGCGGATTGGGTGGGCAAGACCGGCCGAGCTTTGGGGCTGAGGGGGCGGGCAAGAGCAAATTCGCGCTCTGGCCCTTTAAATGTGGCTTGGGCTCCTGCCGATTCATTCGGGTTCGTTAGATTATTTCATCCCGGTGAAACCGGCCTGCCCCATTCATAAAGTTAATTTCTAAAGGCAGACTATTCTCGCCGCCCCCCCCCCAAGATTTTTTCATAGGCAAAAAAATGCTTTGTCCAATCCAGGATATTTCGGACAGTTTATTTATTTGGGATGTACGTAAAACTGATAAGGAAAAAAAATTTTATTATCAAGGTACTTCGAGACTTTGCCTCTTGTGCAAATTTCCTAAAAGATTGAGAACTAGGGCGAAGGACTAAGCCGTTGATCAGAATGGCCGTGTTATTGTTGTTGTTAACGTTTTGCCCAGCTCTTGATGTTAACAAGCCTCTCAAATGAAAGCGATTCAGCTGTTCCAACTGTCCTCTCTAGATCTAATTTCTGTAATCAATGTTTGTTTTTGACTTGAGTGACAAGTGATAGAAAGAGGGAGAGAGGAAGAGAAAGAGAGAAGAGAAAGACTCTAGTAACTAGATTCTAAGTGCAGAGTAAATGGAAGTAACTCGGGTCTTTACTCCAGTTACCGAACTTTTCCTCCTCACACCGTCACCCAGCCCGGAGTCTTACTTACTCCGGCTCCGGCGTTTCTCCCCCAGCAAAGAAAACTAGCCCCCCTCCACCGACCCGAGCCCTCGGCCTCCCGGGCTGGACTCAGTGACGACCTTTCCCCGGACTCTGCCGGTCTCCAAGACAAACTGCCGAGTCCTGCGGCGCGCCTCGGACGGAGCTAGGCTCCCAGACTGGCCCATGATAGGGGGCGGGACGGGGCGGGGCAAGGAAAAGGAGCCAATCACCGACCGAGGCTGCGGCCGGGCCGCGATTGGCCAGCTCCGCGGGTTCGAAGCTCCTTGGCCTCCTTCGGTCTTTTGAGCCACTGCATCCCCTAGCGGTGCTGAAGATCCTGCAGCTGACAGTCCTGAAAATCCATGCTGACTGGGGTCGGGCGGGAAAAGTTCCATCCTCTACACATCGCAAGGAAATGTGTTCAAGAAGAGAGTGTAGGTTCTCCCTCAAGTATTCCCACAGACAGAGCAAAGAGCTTGCTTTGGGGTCTTTTTTATTTTTTAATTTTTATTAGGATTTGGGTGAAAGTCTACAAACCAAACTCATTTTTCATACAGCATTTCATACATATTTTGTTTCATGACAGTGACTTCAATTCCTCACAATGCAACACCTCTCTTCTCACTTCCTCCCGGTAGTTTGGGGTCTTATTTGTGTTTTTTCCAAGATCTAAGGATCAAACTGAAGACATTGTGCCCTCTTTGCCCCTCTATCCCATAGAATTCCTAACAAATACAAAAAGTCAAAATAGAAGATACCATTCTTAAAAGTAATTCGGGATGTGAGTGGGTGGCTTATTTAAGAAAGTAATCCTTGTAGAAAGACTAGTATAATGCATTTGGAAGAAGATGTGGAAATGTAGGTCCTTAGGATGTTGGATTGGGAGCTTTTCTTGAGTCTCGCCTTCTTAAATCTGATGTTGGTTTGAAATCAGGGTTGAATTTCTAGGTGTAGAACAGGAAGAAAATCCCTCAATTAAATGTTCCCAGTCGTTTCTCTTGAGTTCAGTTAGTCTCTCGTTTATTAGGGCGGCCCCGTAAAGGAGCATCGATTTTCCTTTCACTCTGACCACTCTTCTCTCTAGGGCCAGTCAGCTGCCAACATCTCTCCAAACCTTTTAATTATTTAGTTTCTGTCTAACGTCCACCGGAAACCATTCCATAAACAAAGAGAAAGGAACGCACGCACATTTTTGCTAGGAGCCCGGGATTAAGATTAAGGATAAAAGCAGAAATAAAAAAAAATGAAAAATACTTCGCGCGTTATTCCAGGACGTAGATACGCAAGCCTGACAGTTCACAGGCAGGAGGAAAATCCACAACTATTTGGTTCTCTGTGCAAAGACCTGGGAGCCAGGGACAAGAAAAATATGGAGTCGTCCTAGGGAGAGAGAAGCTGCAGACAGAGAGCAGGACGTGAAAACGTTAACGTCTAAAACTAAGAACTACTCTGAAACACATACAGCAAACGTTAGTGAGAAGGTGCCCTTCTGGGGCAGGGGCTCCTGTCCATAACTTTGGTAGTGGGGGGAGAGTGTTCGTTTTAATTAAATCACAAGTACCGACTCCGACTGCACTGGGATGGCGAAGTCACCCCCTTCTTGGAAAATAAAAGATCTCGAAGACCCTCTAGGTCTGGGTGGTTTGGAGCTGGCAGAGAGTGGTGGGGGGCTTGGGGCTGGATGCCCGCTGTAATGGAGCCAGCCTGTAGGGGGTATTTAACATTTAATTCCCAGCCGGTCCGCCCCTGTTCCCGGACTGACAGTGGGTAATTGGGAAAGAGGACGTTGCTCTTTTGATGGCCCGCGCCGGCCAGTCTCGCCGACGCCACACTGGGTTTGACGTCACGGGCCCAGCCCCAGAGCCTGGAGCACAGAGCAAGGGGGAGGGAAAGAAGGGGAGGGGGTAACCGGGGAGGGAGGGCCGAGGTCGGCCCCGGAACCGACCGGGAAAGAAGGGGGAAGGGAACGAGGCCGGAGAGAGGCAGCAGCGAGTGGCCTGAGGCGGAGAACTGGCTGCGGGGGTCTGGGCCAGGCCAGGCGCCGGCCTGACCCGCCTGGCTGGCAAATGCAAGCCGGGCTTCCTCCTCAGTTGGTGGGCGGGGGAGGGGAGGGAGCTCGAGGCCAGGAAGAAGGGAAAGGGTGGTCCTGAATCTCCATTTTCCGTAGCCCGCAAAGCTGATCCTGACCTCCTGCAGAGACGCCTCAGCGCCCTCCTGCAAACCTGAGGACCCCTTTTCCCCGGGCAACCTGGCTCTGGCCTATTCTAGCAAGTCCCCCCTCCTCCCCGGGATCAGTCGGCGGAGCTCCGGTGGAGGATACCAGGAGGAGACTAAGGAGGATGCTGCTGCAGCCGCTACAGGGCCCCGAGCTCCTCCTGTAGGGAGCGAGGCCTCTATCACCAGGGTAAGGGGCTGTCAAACGCATGGTCACCTGGGACCCTGGGGGCGAACATCCTGGAGCCCAGTAGGCGATGGCTTGTAGCCATTAGTCCCGGAGGAGCGGAGCTTTGGTGCTCAGGGGGCAACAGAAGCCGGTTTGGCCTATCTTTAAGCCCAGGCCTCAAGGCTGCAGCTTCAGGCGTCAAGTTGAGCGAGAAATGTGTGCCCTCTTGGGGAAAGGGTAAGGAATAGAGTTTTACATTCTCTTTCTAGTTGAGGTAAGCCAGGACCACACACACACCTCGACCCCAGCACAGGTCCCTCCTACCCGCCCTCCGGGGGGCGCAGAGACACTAGTGGGTGGAAATGGGGAAGCGTGTCCCGCATAAAAACCAGAGCCGGTGGCGCACAGGAAAGGAGCGGCCCCCCTGAGGTCACCCTTGGGTGGCAGGATTGGGAGAGCGGAAATCCACGCGACCAGCGTCACCCACCCGAGCCTGGCGACGGGCGCGTCAGGGCGAGCTCCGCGGTGCCGAGGTGCCGGGAGCAGCGGCCCGGGGCGCCAACGCATTGCCCGCAGAGAGTAGTAAGAAAAACCAAGCCTCGGGGTCGAAGTCATAAAGTTACTAATCCAATGCAGGGGGAGTGAGCGTGCTTCATACCGCCTGGGGCGGTCATTTGAGCGTGTTTACTTAAGGACTTTGCAAGCGGAGCGCGCGAGAAATAGTCGGATTTCCAGCGAGGCAGCAAATATTTGCTGGCGGGAGAAAGAAGCAGAGCCCGGCCGCGGCGCCGCGTCCCTCCCCCCGGAGCTGCGGCGCCGGCCTGGGCGGACCCAGCCGCGCAGTTAAAGACAGAAATGAACCCCGGGAACCTGTGGGGCTGGGGGCGGAGAGAGCGCAGAGGGAGACCAAAGGCCAGAAATTGGAGGACCGCACTGAGGCCCTGGCGAGCTGGGGCTGGGGGAGGAGAAATCCCTTTCCATTTTAGCTCTATCAATCTTCTTGTGCTGCGAGCGGTCAATAAAAATGGTGTGAACTGTCCGCTGCTGCTCTATGTCTGGAGAGGAAGTGGAGGCCAGAAGTGCC